GTGGGATGAATCATTGTTGAAAAAAAAAATTATTTTAAAAAAGTGTCAAACATTTATAAATTTAAATTTTTAATTTAAAAAATAAGAATAAAAAATCGTATAGCAAGAATAAACATTGCTTTAAATGCACGCACATAGCCATTTATTATCAAGATAAATATTACATATTTAATGATTAAAAAATTGTAATAAGCGACTAATAAAATATACAAATTGATTAACAAATAAGAGAGTATCGCTAATCAAATCTTAAAAAATAAATAAATAATTAAATTATTAATAAATCTTAATAGTTAGATTTAATTTGTAACAAGTCTTATTTAAAAAAGTTTTAATAAAATTGTTATTAAAAATAATTTTTATAATTTTTTTTACATATGTCACTAAAAATTGACAATCATTGACTTTTTTTTTTTGGAGTGGCTTCCCTCGAATCTTAGATCGGACTGGAAGGTGCTGTTGGGCCAGTGGGAGCCCACCACGGGTTCCGTTTCGATAATTTGAACTGTTCAATATGTAGAACTTGTTGAGTACTATATGGCTGTAAAACATCACGTTGATCGGATATCAATAACTATCTCATCGGATTAATTTTCTGTCAACCGTTAATTTTTTTATCATCCATTTTTTTTATATAAAATTGATTTGATCACATAGGTATCGATATTTGATCAATGTGATGTTTTGCATGCATATAGTACTTGACGAGTTCTATACATTGAACGGTTCAGATTATTGAAACGGGATCTATGGTGAGCCCCTACGGGCCCAACAACACACTCCAGTCCGATTTAGGACTGGAGGGAAGCTACTCCTTTTTTTTTTGTCATAATTTTTATGAATTGTCAATAAATTTTATAATTAGTGAAGTTTTTTTGTAATGAATTTTTCAAACTATCGCTGAAAGTTAAAAATTAGTGATTTTTTTTAGAACGATTTTTTTAAACTGTCCCTAAAACTTATAAATTATGACATTTTTATGATAATTATCAAATTATGACTAAAAATTAATAATTAATAACTTTTTAATAATATTTAATAAAAAATATCATTAATTTTATAGAACTTATTAAATAATAAATTCACTAAAAATTTGCATGGATCCGCTTAATCCAATCAACCCGCTTGGCCCGCCTGAACCGTGGCAGATACGGACGGTTTCGAAAAGGCTTACGGTCGGCTATGATTTGCAAAATATGAGATGGTCGGTTTGGAAAATATTAGATCTGTTGAAACCGACCCAACCCACTACTCTTGGATTGTTTCAGATAATTTTGTTCGACTTTATTTATTTTCTTTGAGAGACTCCACAGTCGGCTCACGTTTCCAACTACATTGATATTTTCAATTATTTAAATAGTTTCATATAGGAGATTGACAGGACTCATAGTTCCACTCACTCTCTTTTTTCTGTCACTGTCTCCCTCCTGTCCCACCCATTCTCCCTCTCCATCTTCCTCCATTTAGGAGTCTTCGTAGTTCAATTATTATCGAAAAATCTATAATTCGTCATTTGTTTGTTAAATTAGTAGGCTAGAAAAAAATTAATTCACATTTATTTGTCAAATTAACAGATGCGGATAAACAAATTGACAAATTAATAGATTGACAGATAGATGCGAATTAGTCTGAAGGTTTAAACTTTTGTAAATTTTGAACATAATATAACAACTTATGAACATTTTTTTTAAATAATAATTCAACTCAACATAACCAAAAGATTATTAAATAAATTGTCAAATATCAATAATAAATATATATAAGAAAACCATGCATTATCAAAATTATTTTATTACTTTTTTTTATTCAAAAACTATTTAATTTGATTTTTTTTAAATGAAAAAAATTAAACCTTATATTTTTCACACAAAAATACCAAATATCAATACTTGCCATTTGATAAAAGGATTTTCAAATTAAAAACACAACAGAATATCTGACATCTTTTTCAATTGAAAACACAAACAAGATATCTAAACAAATTGAAAAACAAAGTCTTACAAATTATTAGGGGTGCTCGTGGTTTAGCGGTTCGGTTGCAGTTAAAGGAATCTCAAATCAGACATCCATCAAAAACTAAGCGGATTGGAAAAAATTAATTCGCAACTGTTCGCTCATCATCACACATCCGTGCAAAATGCGGCATATCAGTTCAGTTCGGTTCGGTCGGTTTGGACGGATCGAAATATCCGCTACTCACCTCTACCTCTACCTCCACTCATTCTCTCTTACCTGTTATCTCTACATCTTTCCTACTTTCTCCCTCTCATCCATACTATTATTAAGTGAAAATTTAAATTGATTTAATAAAACATTCTTCTCCTCATGTCGCGTGATAATTTTATATATGTTAAAATATAAAAAAAATTATTACACATAGTATAAACAAGTTTTGAAACCAAAATCTTAGGTTTCATAAAAAACATACTTATCACTTAAGTAAAATACATATTATGATATTAAATTCTTTATTATTTATTTTTATTATTAGTTATCTGAATTGCACAAGCATCACGTGTACTACCCGCTAGTCTTTCCATAAAGAAACGTCTCTCTCTTGTCATTGCCTCCTCTTATCTTTTCAGAGATCAAATAACAAACACTTTATCTCTTTTGTTCGATCTTCTTCTTCATGGTGGTGGACAATCAAGGAGTTGTTATGGAAGTACATTGATGTCAATCTATGGTAACGATGATGATGAGCAGCGGTGATAGTGATGAGCAGCAACAATCGCAATGAACGAAGACGGTGGCGTTGAGCGGTGGTGGTGGTGATGAGTTTATTTTGTTCATGTTTTCTCTATTTTTTCCTTTCACTCTATTTTCTCTCACATATTTGTGATTTAATTTTGTTAAACTCAACATGCATTATATGATTATGAGTTTGAGAATTGTTTTTTAAACTTTCAATCTTTTTTCCCCATTTTTATTGTTACCCGTCGAAATCGACTGAACCAACCAAGAAATCGAATAGTTTTGGTCGGTCGATTTTGAAGAAGAGGTCAGTCAGAAATCGATGAATGAGTTTGAAAACCGATTGTGTTTGTTTGGTAGATGGTTTGGGGTGAATCTGAGCCGAACCGACCCATATACACAATAAAGTCCGCTTATTAAGACTTACACGTAAATTTTCATTAAAAAAAAAAAGAAAAAAAAAGAAGAGAGTATTGCAAACCAATGCCTATGACACACATGGGTTCGTTTGGGATGCGGGTTGAATTTTTGACTTTTTGATTATTTTAGCCTGGGGCTAAAAAGTCTCATTTGGGATAGATTTTTTTGACTTTTTTTACTTTTGTAAGAGAAAAAATAAAATGACTATGATTTAGATGTGACATTTTGTCTTATTGGACTAAATAATCTATTTTGTCTTTTTGTGGCTATTTTAGTCAAAAAAATCTCATTTTAGCTTATGCCAAACGAAGACATAAGAGAATGGCAAAAAAAATAAAAAAATAGAGGGGAAAAAAAAAAACTTAAGGTCTATTCTTATAATAAAATAAAATATTAATTTTATTAATTTAAATCGTACATTTTAATTTATTTTTAATTTAAACTATTTGATTATTTTTATTAAGTAAAATTGATGAAAATGTATATTTTAGTCATTAAATTTAATAAAAAAATAATATTTTCAAATTTTTCTATACATTTACATTGAATTTAATAATTAAAATATTATTTTCAGTCGATTTTATTTAACGAAACTAATCTGATGGTTTAGATTGAAAATAAATTAAAGAATTAGAGATTTTAATTTGATAAAATTAAAAGTTTAGAATTTATTTTATTCAAAAGGACAAATACTGAAAAAAAAAATTTCCCCTGCAATTTCTCCAAAATATTAAAAGTACACAACACGTTTGATTGAATCCAGTATAATTTTCTAGTTCAAAAACACAAAAGAATTCAGTATAATTTTTATTAAAATCAATACAATTTTTAATATTATTAAGATTTTTTTTCTTTTGAAAAAAAAAATCTAATCTCAATGACACTCTTTACCATTTGGCAGCAAATAATAGTAAAAGTTTAAACGGAAATGAGCCGTAGCTCGACACCAAGGGCTCGAATTGGAACTCAAAATTGAAACACATTTTTTGTGTTTTCATTTTTTGGCCAAATTTATAAACTGAAACCACTGATTTATAAATCAAAAATTTTACCAAACAAATTTTTATTTGAGTTTTTTAAATTTTTGTAAATATAAATAGAAAACTGAAAACGTAAGTGTTACCAAACGACACCTAAATGTTGAAAGACACTCTTTACCATTTGGCAGCAAATAATAGTAAAAGTTTGAACGGAAATGAGCCGTAGCTCGACACAAAGGGCTCGAATTGGCTCGAAAGAGGGAGAGGAGAAAGAAAAGGGAGGGAGGAAATCGTCGCGCAGCACCACCGCCGTCGCCTCGCCGCTGATCATTGCAGCTTCAGACAGTCGCCTCGCCGATCGTCGCACGACCGCCACCGCCTCGCCGATCGTCGCAGTCGCAGTCGCAGTCGCAACCGCAACCCCGCCTCCTTCTCTAGCCGATTTTTATGGCCCTCTCCCCTCTCCTCCTTCCTCCTCCTCCTCCCTTCTCTTCTTCTCCCTTCTTCATCTTCTTCTTCATTTTGCAACAAAAACACGGAAAAAAGAAAGAAAAAAAAAAAACGACACCAAAATGACAAAAACACGGAAAAAAGAAAAGAAAAAAACGACACCAAAACGACATCATTTTGGTGTCGAGCCAAACCCGAGCCACGGGTTTCGAGCTGCGTAGCACTACCGAAGTTTGAATGATGTATATAAACTTAGGTTTCGTTGAGTTGGTTTTTTTGTTTTGTTTTTTTTATTATTTTAATTTAGAGTTAAAAGATTTCATTTGAAATAAGTATTTTCGTTTTATTTTTTTGACTTTTATAAAATAAAAAATAAAAAAATATGAATTAGATATAAAATTTTATCTTATTAGATTAAAATAGGCAATTTTATACTCTTTGAACCGAATGTGATATACCAAATGGAGCCTTACAAGGTTCTGAGATTTCTGTTGAGTGTCTTTAGAGAGAGAGAGAGAGAGAGAGAGATGGGTGGAGAAGGTAAAATCCCATGTCTTGATTTTTCAGGAGAGGCCATGGATGAAGAAAGTGAAGCATGGAAGGCTCTGAGTAGCAAAGTTAGAGAGGCATGTGAGACACATGGGTGTTTCTTGGTAGAGTACAGTAAAATCTCTGTGCAACTATCTGAAGCTATGTTCATGGAGATGAAACGATTGTTTGATCTACCAGAAGATACTAAGAAGAAACACAACAGCACTTTGCGTTTCAACGGTTACTTTTGCTCCCCATTCTCCTCCATCCATGAGAGCTTCGGCATTAATGACGCCCACCAGCTTCAACTGGCTGGAGCTTTCACCGATCTCATGTGGCCTCCTCATGGCAACCCTAGCTTCTGGTAAATTTTCATCCAATCTAATTTAATTCTCTTTTTGTTTTATAACTCAATATCGGATTTATTGGACCGATTAATTCAGGAATCAATTCACCATTCACTTGTGGGGGGTCTTGATTAAAGTCAGGGTTTTATCCTGTATGAACTTTGCCCTCAAAAAATTGTTTGTACAAACCCAAACTTTAGGCTTTGACCACCAGACTTGACCTTAAGGTTTATCTAATCTAATTCTATATTAATGTTTGGATTTTATATTCAAAAATGCTGGTGATGATGAAAGTTTATTTCAAAGTGAACTCGATCTCCCTAAATCCTAAAGTCCTCTTATTTTTCGTTCTAGATTTTTTTTTTTTTTTTTTTTTTTTTTTTTGGAAGGGGAGAGGAAGACAGTGGTAGTTCCCCACCAAGCCGATCTCCCTCCCCCGGATCATCCGTTATTTGGGATATTCTAAATAAGTGTATTTTTTTATTTTTTATGAAATATGGGCTGAGTTTGAAGTGATATAGTAGAGAGGTGATGTGACTTAAATATGATAGTGACTTTTTGATTTTTTAGATTTTTCAGAGTATGTCAAACCAGGCCTAAATCTGATATTTATCTCACTGATTCTGCCATCATCACATTATCTTCTCTATCCTCGAACTCAAGATTTTAAGATATGACTTTAAATTTTCTCACAGTTCAAGGATCGATGTTGGATAACGAATTTGTTTTACGCTACATGGCTACCTTAACTTCAATATTCTATCTTAACTGATGAAGGGGGGTATTCATATTCTAAATTGAAAATTGCAGTGTGTTTGGTTTGAGTTTTTTGAATTAAGTTTTTGGAAAATTAAGTTTTTTGGTTTTCGTATTTTTTTGTTTTTAGTGAATATTTTTTAAATTTTAAACATTTTTTTTATTTTTTAAATGCACCTTACTTAGATGTATCTAAAAAGTAAAAAATTTATGAAAAATTATTTTAAAAAATTAATAAATACATAAAAATACAAAAAATGTACTGAAATATCGTTTTTTTTTGTATTTTGTGTATTTAGTGAATTTTTAAAAGATTTTTTTCACAATTTTTTTACTTTTTAGATACATCTAAGTTAAGTATGTCTAAAAATTTTAAAAATTGTTTAAAATATTTTAAAAAATCAATAAAAACAAAAAAATACGGAAAAATAAAAAAATAGAATTTTCTGAAAAATGTTTTTTGAAAAGTGAAACCAAGCATTTTGGATGAGTTATGCGGCGACTTGGATATGATTTTGTTTTTGGAAAATGACACGTGTCTACTTTTTAAACCTATTTTTTAGATTCAATAATTTGTAAATAATATAATTGGTTGTTGATTAGAAAATATGTGAGAGAGAGTGTTACTTTTAATATTGTTAGAAATTAGGCGCCCATGTGGCAGGACCCTTTGAACCTTTTGAACCTGAACCTTATCCATGTAAGTTTGAATTTTAATTCAAAATTTATTTGGATAACCATTCAGGATATCTATATCTATCATATCAACAGATATGGATAGATGGATAGATAGATATTGGTGGTTCCGGGCCTTGATATGCAGCTTGTTTGGACTTCGCCACCTCCAAAGCCAAATCCTGACGGAGATGTTCGTTCACTGCAATTATGTTCTCCAATCTTTGTTCGTTTTGTTGTGCTTGTTGCAGGATCGCTTGCATTGCTTCATGCTCCGAAGTCGAGGGTGAGGCGAAATTCAAGGCATGTCGTACGACGATAGTCTCTGTTCCAAGCATGTTTGTTGGAGTGGTTTCATCTTGCAGTATAGGGTCGACAGTGCCTGTCGGAGGATCTTCTGTCACGTTCGCCATGGATGTGCTTGAGTATTCCCACAGACGGCGCCAATTGTGGAGAAGTGGTTTGGAAATACTCTTCTGATCTTGGGGAGCGCTCGAGATCCACTGATAGTCACTTGAAAAGGAATAAACACTCCGGTCGGGGGGTGCCGGAATTAGCACTCCGACGGACAAGTCAGTCTCTACACTTAAGAATGCTTGTATTCTTAGTTAAGCACAATAATTCTCACATACCTCTTTCTGGCTGATGTTCTTCTATTTATATCTTTTCTTCCATGGGCCTCGGGATTAGGTCCATTTCCAACTCATATTCGGCACATTTTATAATAGACTGACCTTCACTCGGCCTCTTGCCTAATCGGTTATTTGGCCGAATAAGGTTGGATTTGAGCTTGCGAGCCAATTGCCAAGTGCTTCGAATCTCGACTCTCCAAGATTCGACTATCCGGGATCTCTATGACTCCCTCTTCTCGGCCCCCACACTTATATTCTTGAGTCGAATTTATGGCATGGTAGATTAAAACATGTGAATTTTGATGCTTTGCGTAGATTAATTGGTTTAGATTATACACCAAAGTTTGATATTAATCCTAATCATAAATGTGAAATTTGTGTATAAGCAAAACTAACTAAGGCTCTATTTAAATCAGTTGATAGGAAAATCGAACCTTTAGAATTAATTTATACAGACGTATGTGATCTTGAGTATGTTCAAACTAGAGGAGGCAAAAAGTATTTCATAACATTTATCTATGATTGCACAAGATATTGTTATGTTTATTTACTTAGAAGTAAAGATGAAACCTTAGAAATGTTTAAACTCTACAAAACAGAAGTTGAAAATCAACTTGGTAAAACCATTAAAATGGCTAGAAGTGATAGGGGTCGTGAATATGATGCACCATTAAATGAATTTTGTGCACAACATGATATTATTCACCAAACTACAGCACCCTATTCTCCACAGCAAAATGGAATTGCTGAAAGGAAGAATAGAACCCTAAAAGAAATGATGAATACTATGTTACTAAGTTCAGGCTTACCATAGAACTTGTGGAGGGGAAGCAATATTGTCTGCTAATTATGTTCTTAACAGAATACCCTACAAGAAAACCAACAGCACTCTTTATGAATTGTGGAAAGGTCGATTGCCTTCCTACAAATACTTAAAAGTGTGGAGGTGTTTGGCAAAAGTAAAAGTTGAAGTTCCTGTTCCTAAAAAGATTTAGATTGGACAAAAAACAGTAAATTGTGTGTTATTGGTTATGCTTCGAATAGTAGTGCATATCGGTTTCTGACTTATAGATTAGAAATACCTGATATAAATGTAAACACTATTATAGAGTCAAGGAATGCTGTGTTTTTTGAACATGTCTTTCCTTACAAGAAACGACAAGAATTAAGTTCACAGAAAAGAACTTATGATTATACACAAAGTCGAGAGACTAATGACAATCAAACACAAGAGACTAGTAATGGTCTCGACCAACAGGATTTAACTGATGATGAACTAAGAAGAAGTAAGAGAGCGAGAACATCAAAATCCTTTGGTCCAGATTTCCTAACATACCTATTAGAAAATGAATCTCAAAGCTTTAAGGCAGTAATGACAAGTTCTGAAGCACCTTTGTGGAAAGAGGCTGTTAATAATGAAATTGAGTCCATTATGCAAAATCATACTTGGGAATTGGTGGATCTGCCACCAGGTTCTAAACCTCTTGGATATAAATGGATATTCAAGAGAAAAATGAAAGCAGATGGTTCAATTGACAAGTATAAAGCAAGACTTGTAGTTAAATGTTACAGACAAAAGGAAAGTCTGGACTATTTTGACACATATTCCCCTGTGACAAGAATAACGTCCATTCGTATGCTTATTGCTATAGTAGCGTTGTTTAATTTAGAAATACATCAAATGGATGTTAAGACAGCTTTCTTAAACGGTGATCTAAATGAAGAGATCTATATGGAGCAACCTAAAGGGTTCGTAGTACCGAGGCAAGAAAAGAAAGTTTATCGGCTTGTAAAATTCCTTTATGGATTAAAACAAGCACTTAAGCAATGGCATGAAAAATTTGATCATGCAATGCTTACTAATGGGTTTAAGATAAACGAATGTAACAAATGCGTCTATGTTAAAAATACTGACCAATGATATGTCATAGTTTGTCTTTATGTGGATGACAAGCTTATCATTAGAAGCAGTCAAAACACGATCAAATCAACTAAGCAAATGCTTAACAAAAGATTTGATATGAAAGATATTGGGGTCGCAGATGTTATCTTAGGAATGAAAATTATTAAAACATCTGATGGATATGCGTTATCTCAATCACATTATATTGAGAAAATTCTTGGTAAATTTATCAATGATGATATGAATGTAGCAAGAACACCTGTAGACATTAGTCTTTATTTATCTAAAAATAAAGGTGATGCGGTGTCTCAGTTAAAATACTCCCAAATCATTAGAAGCCTAATGTACTTAATGAATTGTACTCGTCTTGATATAGCTTATGCTATCAGTAAATTGAGTAGGTACACTAGTAACCCCGGAGAAGACCATTGGAAGACGATCATTCGGGTTCTTAGATATCTAAGATTCACCCGTGATCATGGTTTGAATTTTACTCGATATCCAGCAGTACTCGAAGGTTATTGTGATGCAAATTGGATATCGGATACTAAAGATTCAAAATCCACAAGTGGATATGTCTTTACTCTGGGAGACGCTACTGTTTCTTGGAAGTCTATGAAACAAACATGCATCGCACGATCCACAATGGAATCCGAGTTCATTGCTTTAGACAAAGTAGGAGAAGAAGCAGAATGGCTTCGTCACTTCTTAGAAGACATTCCAATGTGGCCAAAACCTGTGCCAGCTATTTGCATTCATTGTGATAGTCAATCTGCAATAGGCAGGGCACAGAATCACATATATAACGGTAAGTCACGACATATTCGTCGTCGACATAATACCGTAAGGCAATTGTTGTCAAATGGAATAATCTCAATAGATTGTGTAAAATCTAAAGAGGATATTGCGGATCCGTTAACAAAGAGTTTGACAAAAGAGCTAGTGTATAGTTCATCGAAGGGGATTGAATTAAAGCCTATTACATAAGAGTCATCATAATGGTAATCCTACTTATATGACTAGAGATCCCAAGAACTAAGTTCAAAGGGACAACTAAGTTATGTGACTCGCCAGAAATCACTAAGGGATTACAATTCCTTACCCATTCCTATGGTGAGAGTGATATCTGCAACATATGTTGTCTACAGGGGTATAAGGATAAGCTTTGCTTTTAATGATTACTTGTATCTTGATTAAGGCATAAAATCAAGACGAGTATAAGGAGATACTCATAGTAAGAATCACCTATATGAGTGTCGAACTGAGGCCGGTTCTATGAGAATGAAGAGACTAAATTCTCTAGAAATACTTATGAAAACCAGGAGCGTTCAAGGCAAAAATGAACACGACAGTGAGAACCACGATGTGTTGGAAGATATTTTGGGTGAAATCTATTGTCTTGGCTTACATAAACGGCTGAATAATTCAAGGTATCGCGTCCATTGGTTAACTAGTAAGTTCGATAGGTTATCATTAGGGAAGGTTCAAGGCCGAAAACTACCTATCCTGATCCAAGATATTTTCGATTTATACTCTTTCGACAAATTCTGCATTTTGTTGCATTTTAGTTGTAATCAAATTCCATTTATGTGGGGGATTGTTAGAAACTGGTTTTGAAATTCTGGAAAAACAGAATTTTCTCCAGACTTTGGTCTATTTTTTAGGTGGGACTCGTGCGCCTAAGTTGGCGGGTCTAAGTGGTAACGCGTTATATGCCGCATTGTGATTCACGTGGTATATTTGGTTGCTCAAAACCATTATCGAGTGAATGGGAAATTGAAGCCAAAGTGAGCTCCATAGAAATGGAGTTTTGTTGGAAATTCCTTAAGGTTGAAAAATGGCTTGTTCTACATTGATTTGGTGGGAAGTTTTGAATGGGTTTATAAGGCATGAGATTGGAACTTGGGGTGTTCCCCAAGGAGTACCCAAGTTTTGTAAAGAGGGAGGTTATGGGCAAAATGGACTAAACCCATAGGACCCAAAAATCACTACGCGCGCGGCCGCCGCCGTCCGTCCGTCTGGTTGGTCGGGTGGGCTAGGCCTTGGCGCGAGTGGGTGGTGTGAGGTTGGGTTGGGCTTGTCCGGCCCAATACTAATCTTTTTGTGCCAAAAACATTTGAATTTTATTTTCTAAAATTAAATTCTAATTTTTTCATTTTGATTTTCGAAATTTAAATTCAAAATTGGGTCTTGTTTTCTCCCACCCGAACAGAATTGAAACTATTTAGATTTCAAATAACCCGGACAGATTCAAATCTGTGCTGTTCCGGTTTTATCTGTTCAAATTTGAACCCAATCAATACCAATTCAAACCCAACAGGTTTAGTACTTGTTCAAACAGGTATGTTACCTGTTCAATTCAAAATAAATAGATGCCACTACATCTATAAATAGGCTAGCCCTTCATTTGATATTTCATTCAGAAATTTCATACTTCTCCTCTGCAAATTTATTTTTCATTTTGTTGCATTTAATTTTTGTGAGAAAAAGTGTAAACACTTAGTGTGTTCGTTGAATAAATAAATTGTAGTGTTGCATTTATTTGTTGTTAATCATTTCATCCTGGGAGATAGACGTTCATATTCTGAAAGCACCGTGGAGAGGACGAATCTGTCTTAAAGACACGGTGTTGAACACTGGACTTGATCAGAATAATATTCAAGATGTTAATCAACTAAGTTATTTATTTATTTTCTATTTTATTATTTATTTAAATCAGATTTTAATTTTGTTTATGTAACAAAATAAAATCTGTTTTTATTTATTTAATTTTTTTTCTAGTTCGATTTTTGTAATCAAACATTCTCTCTCCTTTTCTATTTTTCTTTTATATTCTGTTTGTCGTTTAGTACCCAAATAGAATTAATTATTTTAATTACAGTGAAGAATGTCCAACACATTATTCGCCATTGACTCCATATTTGATTGATTTTGTTTCATGTTTCAATCTAGTTGAGACTTGGCTTTCAAGCTATGATATTTTTGTTTTAGCTTTTTGTGTTTTCTTGATACAATTTGTTTGTACATCTTGTATTGTTATTTTACATCAATGAATTTTTTTTTTGCCGATCAAAAAATATGATATAAGGGGCAAAATATAATAATTACTGATGTGATTTTCCCCCAAAAAAAATTTAAAGACAATCTAATGAATTTTAACTTCAAATGCCAAAATAACACAAAAAATAAAATACAAAATTACCAGCATAACTTGCCCTGGTAAATTATACCCATGCTTTCCATAATTAGTCTCATGTCAATTTGGCCTATGTAGTTTCATTGGTATTAATTTTGATATTTAATTTTTCACATTCTATGAATTTAATTTAATTGATAGGTTTTCTTAAAAAATTAGACAAAATTTAAAGGCAAAACAGTCCATTTAAAAGAGAATGAACTATTTTCAATTGGATGTCAACCCCTCGGTAGATGTACTATTTTGTCTCTTAATTTTAGTATAATTTTTAAAAAATATGTATAATCAATAAGACTAAATTAGTATAATGTGAAAAATTCAAAGGTAAAATTAATATATTTATAACGACCATGGCCAAATTAACACGAGAGCCAAGACAAACTACAAGAACTATGAATGTAACTTGTCCTTTTTCTTTTTTTTTTTTTTTTTTTTTTTTGCATTATGGAAAATTCTACTTACACAACACAAAAATTATCCTTACACTCAATTTCTCACTACACAACACAAAAAATCTAATTCTCTTTACAAACAATATAATACGCATCATAACCTTCATCCTTACACCCCAACCTAACAAACCCTAACTCTACCCCACCCTAACCACCACCTTCGGCAGCCATAACCTTCAAACCCTAACTGTTCAATCTCCAGCTTCACTTCCATCTCCACCTCCGACCACTGCCTTGCACCCTCCGACTGCACCGATGACAAGCTGGTTGCTGAGGGCTCGAGCTTGACGAAGAGCGTTGCAGTGATCATAATGCATCATATCGAAACAATCATCCATATACACACAAACATGCATGTTCTTCTTCTTCACCGTCCATTTTCCTAGTGGGAAATTGAAATACATGTCCAAGGCTGGCCCTGAGGTGAGGCCACTAAGGCGGTCGCCTCGGGCCCCCAATTTTGAACAAAATTTAGGGCCCATAATTAGGAAAGTGTATCATATCGTGTTATTTCATAATTACTTTAAAATTAGTTCAATTCATTTATTTTCATGCTGTTGTATGGTGTTATTTTGATTCGTGTCCGATTGATATTTAATGTGAAAACTTTTACTTTTAGTTAAAAATAACTTAACAAGTGTATGAAGAAATTAAAATTTTTCCCATAAGTTGAATTTTATAAAAACTATTTCTACTAAATGAAATTATTCATAGAATGTTTGATTTTAATTCAATTGCATTTTTCTAATTAAAAAAATTGTACCTTATTACTATATATTTTTTATTAGATTGACTCTAAAATAGGTAACAAATTAAAAAATACATATCTTAAATGAAAAAAAGATATTAGCCTTAATTATTATTTTACATACTTTTTTATTCAGTTAGATGGAGTTAAATAAAAGATAAAAAAATGTTATGGCATCCCTTAGTGAACATTAAAATATATAACTAATAATTCATATTATTGAATCGTGTCATACTTAGATTCATGTTGAAAAATAGTCAACCCTAACTTACTAATTTTATATATTGCTTGAGTTGTGTCGAAAATTCTCATTCTTACCCCCAATTAATTTTAGTTCTTATAGCATTGGTAAGCTAAAAAATAAAGATTCAATTCAACTAATTGAAGTTCAACTATATATATATATATATGTCATCTAAATTTTGTTAAATTGTAATGCAATAGAAATAAATTTTTATCCTTTTTGTTTTATCCAAACAAATTTTTTTTAAGATAATGATACATGAAGGGTCCAATTTAAAAAATTTGCCTTAGGCCCTAATAACTCAGGGCCAGCCCTGTACATGTCGCGATCAGTTTCATGCTCTGTGGATTTTCAGATCGGCTGGCCTTTGAACCTGCCATTGATGAAATCAGAACCTTGACCTTGGTGGAAATGTGTGTGTGTGAGAGAGAGAGAGAGAGAGAGAGAGAGAGAGAGAGAGAGAGAGAGAATTGTTGGAAATGCTGGGTTTTAGAATGCTAGGGGTGGAATGTTGCTGGTTCATGGGGAAGAGTGGTGGCGGCGGTTGGTCGTGGCAACCAGAAGGAGGTCGCAAGGAGAGGACGATTTTTGGTAGAAGAGGGGCTACGATTTGGTGGTCAGAGGCGCCGACAATGGCTGCCAGGGTTGTTGGTGTTAGAGCGACGGCAATGGACGGCGATAGCATAGATGGCCTGCAATAGGTGGCTGAGGTGGTGATCAGGTGAAGGGGTTCAAAAGGTGGGGCAATGGACGGCGATAGCATAGATGGCCTGCAATAGGTGGCTGAGGTGGTGATCAGGTGAAGGGGTTCAAAAGGTGGTAGGTGAAATGTGAAATTAGGGTTTGTAGTTGCTAAAGATTAGGGTTTTTTAGTAATTTTAATTAGGGTTAAAATGGTAATAATATTTTTGAAGGGGTGTAATGAGTTAGAATGGTTGTATAAGTAGAATTTCACTTTTTTTATTTTATTTTATTTTCCTTAATAAATTCAAAATTCAAATATTCTAGACATGATTATCCAGTATTTGTTATACTAATCTTGGTTTTTATCTTAACAGTGAGGTTCTCAACTCCATGAGCTCAAAGATGATGGAACTGAACTTAATCATCCTCAAAATGGTTTATGAGAGCTTTGGCTTGGAAAACTACTCCTATGGATTGCAAGAAGAGAACAATACCGGCAATTTTCGTTTAATAAAATATAAAGTTCCTATAAGCAATGATCCAACCATTGGTCTTATTCCTCACACTGATAAGAATTTCCTCACCATTCTATCTCAAAATGAGGTTCAAGGTCTCGAGGTTATGTCTAAAGAAGGCAACTGGATTCAACTGTCAATTCCCAACGAATGCTTCATGGTCATCGTTGGCGATTCGCTTAAGGTGAGTGTTCATTGTTTTTCATGTATGCGTCCTCATTTGGAAGCAATTTTTTCTTATCTTTTTTTTTAAAAAAAATAAAAAATTATTTACCTAAAACCCCCTAAAAATTTGATTTAATTAAAAAAATATAATTTAAAGAGATTTTTTTTACTCGACTCTTTTCTCCATTTCCATTTAATTTTTATTATTTTTATGTGCTTTTTAGACTAAAAATCTTTAAAAATTTTATCAAAAAAAAGGGAAAAAAATTAATGATAATTTTAAAAGCATGCTATAAGAGAGAGTTAATTATACAATTTCAATGACAATCTCATTTTAGTTTCACACAGTCAATTTATATTAGCATCATTAACTCAAATTAAAATATAAAAAACTAATTGTCACAATTGAAAATAAAGGAAACTAAAAGTATAATTTTGATAAAATGACAAGGATGCCGCTTAGTGTAATTAATTCCAAATTTTTTTTTCCACAATATGCACCGAGGCCCTGTTTGATTTGGTGAATTATAGTGTTATTTGGATTACATTTCGATAAACATTTTATCTAATAAAATTAATAAATTTTTTTAATCGTACAAATAATAATATAGAACAAACATATAGTTAGGATTATATATTTTCAGATTCATTGCAAAACAAACTAGACAAAAAATGATTATTTATTCTACTAATCCAGCTCAATAAAAATACTACAATAAACTCATAGATTATTAATTCTTTCACTTTTAATCCTGTTAATCAAACATAGCTCAAACTAATATTGATAAAAATAAAAAATTTTCAATGCATGCTTCTAGGCTTGGAGCAATGGAAGAGTGCATGCTGCAAAGCACAGGGTGATGATGAAAGGGCAGAAAGAAAGGTATTCATGTGGGTTATTTTTATCACCAAGAGAGGATTTAACCATTGAAGTCCCTGAAAAGCTTGTCGACCAACATCATCCTCTCCTCTATCGTCCATTTACTTACTCTGATTTCCTCAATTTTTACACCTCCAACTTGAGTGACCAAGCACTTGAGCTTTTTGCTGGTGTTTGATTTATATCAGTATGTGTTATTATTAACTCTTTGTGTTGTAACTTGTGTTATCAAGTGAATCCCACCTCAAGAGCACCGGTATTATTCAATTCATCATGATATTGTAAGATTAACTTGACAATGGCTAAGTGATCGGCGATCCCGTGAGGGTATTTATCATGCAAGATAAAATAATCTAGAAGCAAAGATGGATCTAGATATGCTGGTTCATCAATGGTTTAAAATGTGTGTATCTAAGAACACATTCTGCCATTGTATTTGTAAACACAATGGCAACCATTGCCAAAGGTTATAACCATTGGATACAAAAACTAACAGCCACAATTATCATGAAACAATGCACCCATTGTGTTCAAATTCAAATACTCAACTTACCAGATTGTTTTGTTTCCTTGCGGGAAGATATACACCCGCCATTGGGTCATAATTAAGTATGGAGAGGCACACCACATTATGATGTGGTCACAGTTAATCTAACATCTCCCACTTGATCACATCATAATGAAGTGACATATCCTGAGTTGAGCATGTTTACCTTCGTACCAAAATTTTGCCTCACGCCAACTTTCATTTATGAAATTACCTTATAGATCGACGTCTAATTGTGACTTGGTCATGCATGCACACGTTTCTGCCACCAATCTGACCACATATATACGAATGTGTTCTCACACTGACAACACACTCCAGATGACTTCAATTCACTATATTTCAAATGAACGGCATCAATTTTCAGCGCTAGGTTCATAGTCCATACCCAATCACCATTGACGACTTTAGTCGCACACATTTCTCATGTGTCGACTTACGCCGAAATTATTGTTAAATACTTCCTTTAAGGCCCATTCCTGAAGGTTTTCCTTAACACACCTTGTCAGCGACTTTTTGCTGATCAAGCAGACAACATTATCTAGTCAGCATGTTGCATATTATGGACTTTACATCTCATGCTAACTATGATGTCCGTACTTTGTCAGTTCCTCTACCTTATTACCGGACCAAACGCATGTTTCTATGCAAGATAGAGTTGCATAACATCAGTTATCCAGGTGTCCCCAGAATCATCCAACTATGCTCTTATATGAGTAGCTAAACCACCTAGCTAGGCATTTTTCAATCCCATATTAGCTACATATTTTCTGAATTTTTCCAAAGACAACCCTTTGGTCATAGGGTCGGCCACTATCTCTTCTGAGGGTATATAATTGACTTTAATTTCACCTCTCTCCACTATATCCTGAATATAGTAATAACTTACATCAATATGTTTTCCCTTAGAGTTATTTGCTCCACTTTTTATTAATGAGATGGCGGACTGATTGTCACAAAACATATTGACTGGTCTGACAGGTATATCTAATTGTAAACTATCAACAAATCGTTTTATCCAAACCGCATTACTCACGGTTGTGCTGCAAGCTATGTATTCAGCTTCCATAGTGTACTTTGCAACACAACTCTGTTTCTTACTTAACTAAGAAATTGTTGTTCCACCAAACAAGAACACATGACCACTTGTAGATTTTCTATCATCTACATGTCCTACAAAATCTGCATCAGTGTATACTTTTATGTCTAAATCACTCAAACCAAAACATAATTTCCAAATTCTTAGTGTCTTTTAAATATCTAAATACTCTTTTGACAGCTTGCCAATATTCCTTACCTGGATTGGATTGAAATCTACTTACCAATCCGACTGCGTGACAGATGTCAAGTCTTGTGCTTGTCATAGCATACATTAGGCTGCCTACTACCTGAGCATATGCGACATCTCTTATTTCCTCAATTTCATACTTAGTTTAAGGACTCATACTTTTACTAAGACTTTGTTCCTTGCAAATAGGTGTGCTTAAAGAATTACAGTTATCCATATTAAATCTTTTGAGCACCTTGTCTAGATATTTCTCTTGATCTAGATATAATAATTTTGAATTTCTATCCCTTGAAATTCTAATTCCTAGAACATAGGTTGCAAGACCCATGTCTTTCATTTCAAATCTAGATGCCAAGAAAGTTTTGGTTTTTATAATCATATCTGGATAATTTTCTGCTAATAATATATCATCCACATATAAAGATAATATTGCTAACTTATTATTATTTTTCTAGATATAAACACAGTGATCTACTGGACTCACAACATACCCTATTTCTAAAATGGCTTGGTGGAATTTCAAGTACCATTGTCTTGAAGATTGTTTGAGTCCATACAAGGATTTCTTCAACTTATAGACTTCATCCTCGTTGCCTTGGATCTGGAAACCATCAGGTTGCATCATATAAATTTCCTCTTTTAATTCTCCATTGAGAAAAGCTATTTTAACATTTAATTGATGCAATTCTAGATCCATCCTAGCTACGACTACTATTAGAATCCTTATTGAAGCAAATTTTCCAACAGGAGAATATGCATCTACGAAGTCTACTCCGGGTGGTTGTGTGAATCCCTTGGCTACTAGCCTTGCTTTGTATTTCTCCAAACTTCCATCTACTTTGAATTTCTTTCTACGAACCCATTTGCAACCAATGGCTTTTCTTCCATTTGGGAGACGGGTTAATTCCCAAACATCATTTTTCTTGATCGATTCAAGTTCTTCATTCATTGCCTTAAGCCATTAAGTAGCGTCACCGCTACTTGTTGCTTCATTATAACTAGTAGGATCATCTACTAAGTTATTAAGTTCTTCAACTTGAAAAGCATAATGATCTTTCAAAAATGTAGATGGACATCTTGCTCTCTTACTCCCACTTATCGCAGGATTTGAATTAGGTAACACAACATCAGGTAGTTGTCTTTTCCTCCCACTATCAGGTGGTGCTGGGAGAACTAGTGGTGCTGGTGACAAAAAAGGAAGAGAAGAATCCTGAGATACTTCGAAGAGCAATTCAATTTGTTCAATAGGAGTAACAAGATCAATGGATTCAAGAAAAATAGCATCTCTACTTTCTATTAATCCACGTTCAAGATGGTAAAAACAATAATCGCTCCCATTTTCAACATAACCAATAAACTTGCATTCCCAAGTTTTACTTCCCAATTTATCCCTTAAAGGTTTGGAATAAGTACATGTGCTTTACATCCCCAAACTTTGAGATTTTGAACATTAGGTTTAGTACCATGCCAACATTCGTAAGGAGTTAGAGGTTTGGCTTTTGTTTTGACTCTATTCAATATGTACGCAACGGTGGATAAGGCTTCGCCCAAAAAATGAATAGGTAGATCAGCATGAGCCATCATAGACCTTGTCATTTCCATTAGAGTACGATTTCGTCTTTTTGCAATCCCATTTTGTTGTGGTGTGTATGGCATTGTAAACAAATGCTTTATGCCATTGTCCTTGCAAAAAGAATCCATAGGTTCATATTCGCCATCTCTATCATTATTCAAGTTTTTAATGGACCGACCAAGTTGCTTTTCTACCTCTAATTTATATTCCTTAAACTTTTCAATTGCCTTTGATTTGTGTTTAAGAAGGTAGATATGTCCATATCTTGAATAATCATCAGCGAAAGTAATAAAGTATTCTATGCCTCGATGAGTTTTAGTTCTTAAAGGACCACAAATGTCCAAATGAATTACTTCAAGTAATATCAATGATTTCCAATATTTTAAAAATGGCTTGCTAGCCATTTTTCCTTTGATACATGGTTCACATATATCAAAATCATTGGAATATACTTTAGCCAATAGGCCACTTTTAAACATTTGAGACATTTATTTTTATTAATGTGACCTAATCTTAGATGCCATAAATAAGAACTATTACTGGTAGAAACAAACAAATAATCAAAAATATATACTTTATTATTATCAATAGGAAGAGAGTACATGTCATTCACTCTTGTACCTTTCACTAATACATTTTCTTTCTTAATCAACACTGTGTTAAACCTAAAATTAATCTCAAAACCCTTTTGGGTTAATACTGGAACTGAAATTAAATTTTGGCAAATGTTGGGTGCATAAAGCACATCATGAAGTACAATGGAAGTTTCATTTATAGAGAATTGGCAGTTATCGATGCCCAAAACATCACTATAGGAGTTGTTACCCATGTAGATTTTGTGTTCACCAATTTTCTTTTCAGTAAACCCCATGAACATGTCTTTATTTTGCATGATATGCCTAGTTACAGTAGAATCAATTCACCATGAATTTGATGAAGGTTCAAGTACAATTGCTTCAAAAACTGTCATGGCAATGGGGTTATGATCCTTTTTATGCTTGTTTTGAGGACAAGTGGCTTTGATATGACCTTTTTGACCGCAATTGTAACATAGGCCAGTTTGATTCTTGTGATGTTGTTGTTTTTGCCATCCTTGCTATTTTTTTTTTTTTTTTTGCGTCCTTTCTGGAACCCCTTCTTCCATTTTTTCTTGATAGAAGTAGCCTTCGCTTCATTCTTTCTTCTTCCAAAACCAAGAGTACAGGAAATGTTACCATTGAAATCTCTCATCGGCTATGAGTTAAAGATGTGACAACATGATCCCAAGACAATAGAAGACTATTAAGTATGATAGTTACTTGCATCATGTCTGACAAAGGATGATCATCGTTGGATAATTCTTTAGCAATTAATTCTATTTGATTAACATGATCACCAACACTATCATTATTACTCATATAAGTGTTATTATATTTATCCAAGAGCAATTGAATTTGAGCGTCAGATCGAACTCCATACTTACTTTCTAGAGCTTCCATTAATTATTTTGCAGTTTCATGTTCTTCGAATAACGGAATTATGTTTTCTTTCATATTATGTAATATTGTTGCCTTTGTCATAGCATCATTTTCTATCCATTTGTTTTGAAACCAATTAAAATCATCATCTGGTTTGTAAGTGGATAAAGTGTGCAATGTCTTTTTATGTGTAAGAAAATAAGAAATGTTGCATTTCCATGCTCGGAAATCATTTCAATTAAGCATCTCAATTCTTGAAGAATCACTAGCACTTTTAATAGCCATACTAAAAACAAATGTGTAACAATAAAAATACAAATGTGGATACTACAAAACAAAATAAACAAATAAGCAAATTAAATACAACAATAAGTCTTAATAAGGATAAGGCTTATAGTTGTTAAGTCGGCCCCTGTGATAAGCAAA